ATAATCAAGAAATAATTCAAAGACAAAAATTTACCATTACCTAATATATAATAACAAAATGTTATCAATAAGGGTTTGGCACCGTGAATGTGGGCTACGATCCCTAAGAAAAAAGGTCACAAGTTTGATTTCTTTAGATACCCTCTAGGAAAGTGGCAAATCTTAAGGGCGAAGCCCTCCTTCATGCTGTTGACTTATGAATTGCTGAAACTGTGGGGGATACTTCGAGGGACCCCCTCGGCCGTAAAAGTGGCTAATTAGGGAGGCATTCAATAAAAAAATGGTTTTTTGAGTTAAATCAATTTCTCTACTTATTTAAAACGGGCAAATACTTGGCAAATTATTGCTCTTTTCTTCGCAAGACGTGTCAATGTCACTTATTGAATGACAAGTTGCTAAAATATTATTATATTGATGTTCACTTGGTAACATCAATTGACTTGTGAGGCAGTGTCTTGGAGGATGGATGTCTGAATCAATCACAAGCTTTGTTGATTGTCAGATGCTAAGGAACTGAACTCAACAGCCACGTTGCAAAAAAAATCTCCAGATAAATTCACCGCAATGTCAACTAAATCATAATTAATTTTGATCCATTCTTGGCTTTATGCATGGGCTTGCACCACAATCGCTATTTCTTTCTTTTTTTTTTTTGGTTTTAAATATAAAGGCTGCGGATGAACCGGAATAAATAAATCAAGTCATATAAAAATTATTAGTCTAGGAAATCACGGAGAACAATATCAAAGTTGCTATAACAGATATTTTTTTGCTTGGGGCCTATTCTCATTTGTGTTATCTGCAGCCCAGAATTCTCTTGTTTCTACGGCTGTATGGTTTTGGGATGCTCATATGAGATCTGATCTGATCGCGCATACTGAATTCGACGACTCATATGTTTTATTTTAGATTAAAAGGTAATTTCATCATTAAATTACATGTACATGAACATTTATAATCTTAAACTTATTTTAGTATAATATTTCCTCCAATTTTAAAAACCATACACAGTCTTGTCCCTACAAGTAATAATAATTAATTTTGATGGTTAATTGATTTACAAATTATAGAAAATGATATCAAAAAGTACATAAAAAGATCAACAAAAATTATAGAAAAGGACCTCAAATTATAAAAGGATCAAGTTTTTTTTTCATTTTTTTGTAATTTTTTAGTCAACTAACAATCAAATTAATATTTGTTAATAATAGAAGCAATTTTGTATCATTTTCAAAGTTAAAAAAAAACATTGCATTAAAAAAAAAAGATCCTTGATGCTTTTAGGCTTATAGTTTAGGAGTTATTTACTATTTAAGCCCTCTATTTTACTTTACTGTCAAAATTTTAAAATTTTTCATTTGAGGTGAATAAAATGTAAAATAAAAACAATTTACTACATACAAAATATTAAGACAACGATATTTAATCTACTATGTACTACTATATCTTAAGGATGAGGCATGTGATGCTGGTATCTGAATTTGCTTTAATGCAGGTATCCTTTCTAATCAATAACAGAAAAGATAAATCCATTGGCTTTCAAATATAGACGTCAAGCTGTCTTTAGTTTCAAATCCTATTTTTGTTCTGATGTTTTCTTTCAATTTGCGTTCTGTCCCGGAAAAAATGGGGGGAGTTTGCCTCAACCTAAAGCCTCATTGCTTGTAATTCAATGCAAAACCTTTTTTTTTTTAAACCCAAAAATTCATTACTCTTTGTCCTCAATGTTAAGAGGTAGTTGAGGAATTTGTCTTGATCCTAAATATAAGACTTCAATTTCCTTTATTTCTCATATTTATTATTTTTCACACAATCTACTATTGTGTATAATTAACAGAGATAGTTTCCAATGTAAATGAGTACAAGGGATATCTTAAAGAAAAAGAAAATTTTTTTACGAATAATTAACTTAACTAATTTTCTCAATCTAAATGTATTAGTTATCTAACTCTTCCATTTAAAACCAATTAAAGTACAAAACAAGGACCTTAGTGTTTGAAAAAAAGGAATTAAATTCTGGATCTTGTTACATAAGATAACTAAAGGTATAATTGTTCCAAAAATAACAATTTCATGAAACTTCAGCCATTTCCATGGCACCCAACATGGAAGGTAATTTCATCAATTTTAGTGGACTTGTGTTCCATATAAGATTGATTTCTAGCACATCAAACTAACTATTTCTTGAATTCTATTTCCATTTCCAATTCACAGACCAAAATTCCATCATACCAAATAAGCCCTTACAAGGAAAACAAGTATATATATATATATATATATAATCCTTTTTGCCATTCCATCAACAAACCTTCCAAAAAGAAGGGTCTTGAATAATCCACTCCCAGAGCACAAGATGTTCCAGCAGAGGGGTTAAAAGACTAGCCTGATTATTATTACCATTTTTTAAAAATAACTCATGTTTCTGGGTTAAAAAAAAAAAAAAAAGTCTGTCCAACAATTACCAATTCAGTCGACTAGCTTATTGTAGTACCCAGAAAATAGTAAATCAACCAGGAGCCAAATCACATTTCTGAGAAATGTGCGAGGTCCAAGCATTTGGACCACAACCACAGCATTCACACACTACAAAGTACAAACCACCTTTTCATATTCTACAAAATTAGGAAGTCCATCAATTTCCACATTAAACTACTAAGCTTATTATAGTACCCAGGAAGACAGGAACAAACAGAGACGTTCAAGGATTAGGCATTTGGAACATGAAACCGAACCACCTTCTCCTAATCTACTTAGTTAAATCACAATGAAAGTGGAAACAACATACATAAGCATCAAGGCCACTGCTGTTGCAGATACAAATCAAATCAAGCCATTGCAGTAAGGCTTGGGTGAAACGCGGTCCCACACGCTATCCATTGCCGTTTTCTCCCTCGTGGCACTATACACCCAGGAACCTTAAGCCATTCTCTGCTCGCCATGTTGTATGTAACCAACCGGTTCATCTGCCTCGATCTCAAGGACAGCATAAGCAAGCCCTTGTTTCCCAGGCAAGTCATCCTAACGCGCTTTCCATAAAAATCTAAGCACCAGATGTTTGGCATTCTGTCAACCTCCTTCCACAAGAGCGTCATTTTCTGCAGCTCCCATATGCATACACATGTGGCTGCATTCTTTGTCAGCAGCCCCACGAGAATGATCCGTCCATCACACTCAGCTAGTGTGTGGTCGGTCAGATGCACCGGGGCTGGAATTATGTCCTGTTTCCAAACCCCAGAGACCATATTGTAGGAGACGATCCCATCTGGATCGGAACGCATGAAATATAGCATGCTATCGATTGAAACAGCCTGTGACCTGAAGTTGAGTGATAATGGCATCTTGATGCTGGCAGGCATGTTTCCTGGATGAATCCAAGAGTTTTTCACTGAGTCATAGATTTCATACTCTCCATCACAACCAACCCATAGGATCTTGTAGCCAGCGCTAGTTGAAGTCCCATTTAGGGTCATTCCTACTGCCACACGAGACCAGACCTTGACTGATCGTGCTGGCAACTCCTTGAAAGATTGGATCAGTGGGTTACAGACATAGAAGTTTCGGTGACCAATGTCAAGGAAGCAAACGAGGCCCCCTGCAGAAGCCACTGGCAAAACAATCATCTTTGCAGGCAGCATTGACATTGCAGGATGATGCCATTTTTTCAAAGAAGGGTCATAAATGGCTCCTGAATTCACATTTTCATGAGTTATGGTGTAAAACCAGGGACTTGCTTGTGGGACTTGAGAATAATGCTGAAAAAAGCTTTGAGAAGTCAGCAAGGAATTCCATCGCCGGCATACAGAGCGAAATCGGAAAAATGTGGCAACGGGAAGTCGTGCTATGACAGCCTCTAATAAATCTTCAGGAAAATCCTTCCAAATTTGTTGTTCCATAACGTCAGTTGCACAAGACAGACAAGATGATTTCCCCTTGTTTCTCTCTTTTCGAGACCTCTTGGTCGGTGGAGGCTTTAAAGGCTCCAACATGTTGAAACTTCGAGACTTTCCAGTTGCCATTACAAGTTCTTGGCAATCATCTACAGAGTAATCATCAATATCAACGAAGCACCATCTGTGAAATAGAAGAACAAATACATTCATTTGCTTCTAACTATTAGAGTAAAATAGAATAAACATGCTCAAAAGACCAACATGGCTCAAAATAGAAAGGCATATGGACACAGAAAATAGCAGACAGCAAAATGAAAACTATGATTCACGTTTGCTTCCAACTATGGTCCTGACTGGGCCAGCCAAAATTTTTAAAACAGCCCCAAGTATAGATTCCATTCAATATGCCTTTATTTTGGGAGGCATACACATCATTTCCTCTCTCTCTTTTCCTTTTTTGAAGAAAAAGAACTTCAATTGATTCAGTATTCATTTCATCTAGAACGTTTATGTGACATTATGTTGGCACGAAACCGATTCACCAAATTCATCCTTCAGTTCCTATAAAATAAATTAAAAAAAATCCAAACCTTACAGTGCAGCAATATCATAGCAGGCATCAAGGTCCAATAAACAAAACTTCCCTACAGCCCATGTGTTTGTGTGTGTGAACGTGTTTGTTTGTATTTAATTGTAGAATAATCCGTTCATTGGCCTGATGACTTCAGCTCATGGCTCATACTGATCCACCCAGTACCCAAGTTAAATATCTCCATCACTCCTCTAACAAGAGTATATTGAGCTTGCTTAGGTACTGAACTACACATGACCAAATAAGACATTTCACCAGTAAGATTTGAAGTGCAGCCAGATCTCTTAACAAACTTCGCAAGCACATGCAATGTTAAATACAAAAGAAAAGTAGAGCATATATTTCCAGTTTTTTTTAGGTAAATGAAATTTAGTGCCAAGGAATCCTGGCTCATTCTCATGAGGTAAATATGCTAGTCTTAGTGCTACGCCCAAAGGGAACTTAAGTTTTAAAGTATCAGTCTTCCAAAAGAAGCATCATCAAGAAATGCTTCAAATACACCCTTCATAACCCAAAGGAGGTTTCGGAGAAGATTCTACCAACTTACAATCGGAAAACCTTTTCTTTAAACAGGAAGGATTGAGTGCAATGGAATTTTTATCAACAAGCAGAAAACAGAAGAGTGGACAGTATCCATTGGAACCAGATATTTGCCCATGTTTGTTGGACCATATGGACTAATAGATTTTCAAAAGTTTTTGAA